AACAAAATCTGGCTCTCTCCTAGCTGAGTTAACACTCTTAAAGGGTTAGCAAGAGGGACCAGAGAGATTGCTCAGTGTTAAAGCACTTGCTATGCAAGCATGATAACCAGAGTTCAGATCCTTAGAATCCCCATAAATGTCAGGTAAGCATGGCAGCCCCACCTATAATTTCTAGCCTCAGAAGGCAGAGACAAGGGATTTCTAGAACAAGATGACTAAAGAGCCTAGCCATTTTAGGCAAGCTCTAGGTTTGATTGAGAGACCCTGCCTCAATGAATAAGGAAGAACAGTTGGAGATGCTTCCCAACATCAATCTCTGATCTCATCATAAATATGCACTGGCACCCACGTGTTCCCACATACATGCAAACACACATGTACAACCCATACACACACACCCCCCCCACACACACAGAAATGGCAAAAGAACAATAATAAAGAGTTGGCAGGAAACTTGCAAAATAAATAACATATCCCCTTCCCCCAAAATCTGCTTGCTTTATCCCAAGCTATAGGGAAAAATGGGAGATACATTCTTCCACCTGGGCATATGAGTGGCCTCAACAAAAGCAGGTTGTTATAAGCCAGAGGAAAATGGATATAAGTTTGTAAGAGTGAAACCACTGAGGACAAGTCAGCCTTCGGGTTGCAACAGCAAGAGGTTTATTTAGTACACAGGTACCTGTGGGCACAAAGTCTCCTCGGAGGACTTGCGCGCCCCCATGCTGGGTTTTGGCACTTTTATAGAGCAGAAGTGGGGTACAGAAGCAGAAGCATGGTTATTGGCCCATTCAAACGAGTATAAAGCATGAGGAAGTTAAGTTGCTAAATTCTGGGTGGGTGACTTATGGTACAGATCTGATTTCCTGGTATCGAGCCCCGGGGATTGCCAGATGCAGATGGCTTGACCACTACGTCCTGTTTTTCTGATAAGCTAGTTTCTTAATGCTTGACTTCTTGTCAGGCATTCCTATCAGGTGGCCTCATGGCGCCTAGGTTTTTTCATAACAACATATATGTATAAGAATGTCAGAGTGAAATCCATTACCTTCATTTTAACAACAAGAACAAAAACTTAAATAAAAAATAACTAGTTCTGCCTCACATTTTATTTGTTGGACATTCCAAAATCTAGGGGATTGATTCCCTCCTTAATACAGCCGAGGTGCGAATATTTACTGGAATTTTAACGAACTTGTCATGATATTATTTTCATTTTTGAATAATGTATATCTTCGTACATAATTCATAAGCCGGCATAGCCTTTCATTCAAAGTTAAATGCCAATGCGAACAGGAACGACCTTCTGGGAAAGCAAGACCTGCTTAACACGCCTGTAGACCAGGACCCGCCTTTCCGGCTTTTCTCACTCTCGGGTTGGTGCAAGAATTGTCACTCAGGGTGGAGCTTCAGTACTGTCCAATCGGAGGCATTGTCTTGAGGACTATCCAATCGGGCAAAGCGACAGTGCGTAAGGGGTGGGCTTTCAGGTGCTTGGGGCCTTTGTCTCTGACTGGTTAATTACCGGCCATCGCGGGATCTGTGTCTGGAGTTCGAGGAGCTTGTATCTGTTACCCTGTGACCGGCTGCAGCCAGAGCCCCACGGCGCGGCGCTGTTTGCCTGGAATCCCGACATGGTGAGCCCGGCTTCCCGAGCGCAGAGGGAAGCTGTGCACCCCGAGCTGGCGGCCGCGGCTTCCCATCTTCCCTGTAGAGTCCCCAGCTGCGGGTATGGCGGGGCTGGGCGGGCTCCGGGCAGCCCTGGCGTCCTGCCGGTCTCTGCACGGGAACTTGAGCCCTGTGTGCTGCTGGGCCCTGGAGCTTGTGGCCGCTTGCTGAGCGGGAGGAAGAGTGCAGGGCCGAGCTGGGGATACCGGACTGCGCAGCCGCCACGAGTCCCGGGACCAGCGCGAGGTGGGGCGCTGTGGGCTGTGCCGGACGCGGGGTGGGGCGCAGTGGGCTGTGCCGGACGCGGGATGGGGCGCAGTGGGCTGTGCCGGACGCTGACCCTGTTCCGTGGCCTCACGGGGCATGGGTCAGAGCGGCTCAGCCACAGGCAAAAGCTGCAGGACTTTTCCTGCCACTAGCCGACCTCATGATACTACTTGGTGTGGGATGCAGTTCTGGCTTTTCGCCCTCCGCTCCCAGCTGTACTCATAGTGGTCTCAAAGGACTGAGATCGAGATGTTGCTCATGATACCCAGCCTGAAGATGCTTGAGTCAGGGACCAGAGGATCTGAGAGTGGAGAATCTGGGAAAAAGACAGGCCCGGGAGGTGTAAAGAGAGAAAAAATGGATTGTGGGAAAGGCGGGAGGGCCTGGGGAAGAGGCCAAGGCCTCCTGGAGGAGTCGGAGTGGGGGTCTGGCGGGGGGCTGAGGATGGAAGTGAATATCCCAGTGGGTGGAGACGTCCGGTGAGAGGAATTTTCTGCAGGCACATGTATCCACATCTCAGTACTTTTGACCTGCAGGGAAGGTGCTTTGGGAAGGTGCTTTGGGACTCCTTAGGGACCCAGAGTTTGGGAGGTGGGGGCGAGAAAGGAAGCTGGGGGCCAACCCTCTCCCTGAAGCTGTCACCGATTTTCCGGGATGTTGGACTTGTGGAAGTCTCCTTTTCCAAAGCCTCCTCCCCATCTGCCTCAGAGTGGTGGCTGTAGTATCCTAATGCTGACTCACTTCTGCCCTTGGCTAATTTGTGTGTGTGTAAAGCAGGGTCTCAAATCCCTATACCAGCAGCTCCAGCACCCTCTGCAACTGGTAACAAATTACTAAAATAACCACCTCCCTACAAGGGTTCCTGAACACCAACTTGCTCTTTCCATAGTATGATCAACTATTTGTACCTTATAGTATATTCCAAATGGGATTTGCACGTTCAGATGGCATGGCCAGCTGGAGACAGTCATCATATATTTCTTTTCCATTTATATATAAATATGTGGTCTCCCTGTAGCCCTCTATATGGACCAGGCTGGCCTCGATGTTAAGAGATCCTCTTGCCTCTGGGATTAAGGGCTCACGCCACCATACTCGGCTCATCATATATTTCAAAGAGACAATGTTTTGCCTCTTTTTTTGGCTGATTCCCAGAGTTTTGAAGAATTTGTTGTTAACATATCACATGAGGATGAGAGGAAAGCTGAGAAGAGTCACTTGAGCCCATGTCAAGAATCTTTATGTCCACACAGACAGCTTGTCTGAATGCCTTTTCCTTCCTCAAACTTAGTGGTCGTCTTGACCTCAAGTGCCAGAACTGCCTGATCCCAGGTATCTACAGCAGCCATGTTTCTGGTCTCTTTAAAAAAATATTTTCAAACATTTTTAATCGTGTGTGTGTTTGTGTCTGTCTTTCTGTCTGTGTCTGTGTGTATGGTTTGTGCATTGTGAATATAGCTGTACCTGCAGAGCATAGAAGGGTGTCAGAGCTCCTGGAGCTACAGATAGTTGTGAGCCACCCAGTGGGGGTGCTGGGAACTGAACTCAGGTCTTCTGTAAGAGCAGTGCACACTTAACCACTGAGTCATCTCTCTAGCCCTGCCTCTGGTCTCTTGGAATGTCTAGTGAATACCAGCCCCATGTCATTCTTGTAGATAGCAGCCTGAGTTGGGATATGAAGCCTCTCCTGTGTGCAGCTGAGTGTCTTGGATCTAGGCAGAGTGTCTTGTCATCCCCTTCACCTAAGAGGCATTTTAATTGTTTATATATCTTGGTAGTGAGTAAATAATTTTAGAGTGAATGTAAATGTGAAGCCATATCTGTGATGTCTGATTTGAATCACAAAAATTTGATTTTTGATTTTGAACCCAATGTAGTGGCTCTCAATCCCAGAACTCAGGAAGCAGAGGCAGGAGGATCTCTAGGTTTGAGGCCAGCCTGGTCTACATTATGTAGCAAGTTCCAGGATAGCCAGGGCTACGTAGAGAGACTCTGTCTCCAAAAAAAAAAAAAAGTGATTTCTTTTTTTTAAGATCAAATTGAACTTTTATGTTTAAGTAAACTGGCATACTGCTTTCTAAAGT